CAAGGCTAGAAAAGGTCAGCTTTCAGAGAAGTTTGAGGGACTTTGCTGGCACTGTAATAAACTTAAGCGACACAACTCCTTTCTTAATAAAACTAGTTTATTCTTTCCAAATATAACTTTACCGATACTCAACTTCAACAATCGCGCTAAACAAACGCTGTAACGTCTCTCGTGCTCTCTGACTGCAGTTCAATTACTCACTATCTACACACACACATTAAATTCCCCTCTTTTATATACCCGCCTACCCTATATCTAGTAAGAACTAGAACATTCGCCAAAGTACAGGATAATTCTAGATAGTAGAGAGCGTGAGAATCACATGATCTCGATGACGCAACAAGGCTTTAATAAATTGCTTGATGACGATGAGATGACTTACTTGCACCAGTGATACTTCTACTGCTAGCGATGGTCCATCTGTTTCTAGCATTTCTCTTCAACCTCGGATAAATGTAATTCTGCATGCACAAGATAAGTAGGCATACAGAAAGCTTAGTAGAACGACTTATTTGCTTGCTGAGGATGAACAGCCTCTGTCGGCATTCAAAACTCTAATTAAAGTACAAAAACAAAATTGGGGTACAATTGATTTCAAATTTTGTTAATGCTATAAGAGCAAAATAGTTTATAAATGTTATTACAGAAGTCATTCACGAGAAAGTAGCAGTGATTTTATGTTCAGCAATAGCCTTTGCAATGAGTGCTTAATGGTGGGAGTCAGGCAAAAAAAAACAGTTTATTTCTTTGTTGCCTTACAAGGCATTGATAGTTGTGGTGATGCTGGTGCAAGTAATCTAAAGAGGAACATTGATGATGTATTCAAAAGTGATGGAAAGGTATCAATTCCAGCAGAGAAATACACTTATCTGCTAGTTTCAGCTACAGCTGATGGAACTTATGTTAATACTAGAGTTTAAAATGGATTGCTAACAAAACTGAAAAATGAGAATCACCTTTAGCTTCTCAGCATTCATTGTGTTTCCCATAGGGTTGAATTGCCATTGAAAGATAGTGTATCTAAATCATTTGATGATGTGAAAGACTTCATGACAACTATATATCACTTATTCAAAGGATCTGGAAAGTTCAAAAAGCACTTTGAGACAGCTGTCAATACATTTGGTGTGAAGCATTTTAATTTTCCCAAAGTATATGACACACAATTTGTTGCACAAATAAGATGTGGAGTAAATCATTTACTGAGTAATTGGGTAATTTTTGCTCGAGTAATAGAGAATCAATTACCTTTCCAGTTGCAAGAAAAGAGCAGTATGACTAGTATCACTGCATCTTATATGAAATATGATTACTCAATTAACAGAAATTTTATTATAGGACCAAAAGAGTTTCATATTAAAACATTATCTCTATCTATGATCTAATTTAACATTTATGACCTTGTTTGACATTGACAATGTTGGTGCATTTTCCTACTTGCATTAAATAAGTTATTCAATGCCTTTAGTTTGTTTTGTAATTATAATGTTTGTTAACCCATGTTTTCTAGATTTTATGCACTGTTTTCTAATAATAATAATAATATATATTTATATATGCCTATGTGGAATTATTGCTGCTGTAGATAAGCCAGGAGATTAAGCACAATTGACAAAAAAAAAGCCCAAATGATAGAAAATACTAAGCATCAAGATGTACATTGTTATAACATCCTAAATGTTTAACCAAAATATAATACTATTGGCAATTTAAACAACAGTTTTTTATATTTTTCTAATAAAATGTGCTCTGCAGAGGCAGAAATTTTTACATTATTATGAAAACAGATCATTTCACACAATAATGAATGAATGAAATGTTTATTGATACAAAATATCAATTATACATGATAAATTTTAAAGTGGCTTTTATTTCTGAACAGAACTGTTGGCTTGTGACCATTAACTCTTCACAATATCCATATCAAGAAAATTAGAATAAATACATGTGCTCAAACACTTTCTTCATTTTAGAGATAAAAAAACAATTTACAAATACTTGTGATTTGATTTTAGTAGTATCTATGAGACCAGAAAGTGATCTTCCACGTTCTGCAGGCTATGTTGACACCTACTAATTACATTCAGTCACATGAATTTTTATGTCCTCTAATACTTTAATGTTAAGCTAGGCTTTATTTACTAAGCTAGATTTTACTTATTTTACAATTTTGAAAGTAAGTCCTCGTTATGATTTGACACTGGATTTCTGCAGTATTGATATTTAAGTTTTATAATGTCTCCTCTAAACAGCCAGTTAATGATGTTAAATAAAAATACATAATCTTAATCATGACTGAATATTCACGAGTTCTTTATTAATGAACATCATCACATCAGGACAAACAATGTTACCATATCTATGTGTACTCTACACATGACTTAAAAATACAGCACATAATAAATATAAATATAATATAAAATTTTGTTCTATTCAGATAAATAAAAAGAAAAAGTATAATATATATATAAACAACTATATTGGCAAACGTTTTCTTAAAACAATGCTTTGACACCATAAAAATAACGTTACAATTCTAAACTAAATAGTTCCTTTTTTTCAAAGGAATTAATGTTGTTATTTCTTTAAAAGCATGGTAACATGAATTACATTGACTTTATTTTTGTCATGACTTGTAATTACAAATAAGAAGCAGGCACAATTTATTTACATTATGTTTCACAACTAACAGTGTCTTTCCTTCTATTTTGCTCTGAGTCAAAGGTTCCCAATACAGTATTTTAAAATTGTCAACCAAAATGTTTTTTTCCCTTTCAACTACATTATGTGTTCCTTTTCACCTGTATAATATCTTAAGATTCTCAATAAATGAATTTCTTTTTTTCTTTTACTTGCATAACCGTTCTTTAATAACCACTCTTCTCCAGTAAATCATTTTATGACTCTTATTCAAACAGTTCCTTTCCTTTAAGCTACTTTTACGAATCTCATTATTTTAGGCAAATTAACATACATGCACATGTATATTATTGAAAACTATTGGCAAACACAAAAACTAACAGTCTCAGTTCAATCTACTCCACAGGTTTTAACAAGATAGCAAACAAAATATATGTATACTTTACTTAATTGCTGTAATTAATATATCTAGTTGTGTGGAAGAAATAACCAAATTATTGATTTTAATTAATTTTTTATAAGGTGCTTGCTCAGCATGTACTATGTGGCTAGATAATATTAACTATAATTTTAATCTATCTTAATTTCAGATCTGCTGACAAATCTTTTAAACTAAACCTTATTTATTATAATTCTAAACAATTATTACACAGAACAAAAAACATTTTGTGTAAAGACTGGCAAAAACTAAACAAACTTTGCTTCATGAGTTTGCAATGGCATAAAATTACAGTGAAAAACATATATACGTTTTTCTTACTTACATTTATCCATATTAAATAACTGTAAATTGGAGAAAAAGATCACCATCATGTTTACATTTTAATCAATGTATAACATATGTTGATGAAAAGCTAGTACTTGAATTGAAGAAAAACAAAACTATAGTTATTTCAGTTGTATAGTGATCAGTCAACCTATAAACTATACATCTGTGCTACACAAATCTACCAAATTAATGTCAGCATGCCACCATCAATCTATCAGTTTAACTTATATGCACTATATCATCTTTCTAACACTAACTTGTGCATAAATTCAACTTATACACATTCTGCCATAATTTTATCAAATAAACCTGTGAATATTACAATTTCTCTATCAATTGAACTGTACTTGTTCAACCAAAATTTTACTGAATTAACTATTTATTCAATTTAACATAATTTTACAAACTCGACTGTGTGTGTGTGTGTGTGTTATCATCAATTTAAGATTTCTGTGATGATAAAATATATTTTGTATTACTCCTTGATGTATCTAAAGCTTTAATTAACTAATTATAACATGTTTATGAATTAGTCAGTATCACTTATGTTTAAAATCTGCAACACCACCATCAAATGAAAATATGTTTAATCATTAAACTTCCTATGAATTACAATAGTGTTAGCACTAGGCCTGTTTGATTTAGTTTCTTGCTCTGTGGTTACATCGATGAGCATAATACACGAGATGGCATTTTATCACTGTGTGTAACAGAAATACAAATTATTTCTCAACAATACCTCTGTATTAAGAACATTTTTAAAGTGTACAGTTACTATAAAGTTAGTTGGACTATTCTAATGGCCATAAGTTGAGAAAACTAAGAATCATATATTTAATATTTGGTAGACAAGCCAATGAAATGTTGGGAAAGGAGATTCCTGTGTCAGTAATAAATGTCACCTGGGGCACAGACTGTGAAATTTGCATACTGGGGACATTAGAATTGCTCTCATAAAGCATTGCTACAGCAGTGGTGATAACATAGATGTAGCATTAAGATCCTTTCGACATGAAAGCAGATACCAACCATGCACCAATAAGGCATAAGTTAAACAAAATTGAATGCAGTACCACCAAAGTTGCCAGGAAACAACAGACACCCACAAACAACATTATGGAAGGTTAATGGAAAAACAGTGAAACTGTAACCTAAAGGATATAGATAACTTATGAACTGGTGCCACAAAATGTAAAAAAATGCTACAATTTAATTTATAATCTTAGCTTAAGGAGGAATTGATGATACCTGGCTAGACCACATCTTATGAATTTATAAGGCTCAACTTACCTTCCTTGACCAGGTCAATTCACAGTTGTTTGAATGGAGAGAAAACAAACCATATGCCTTTGAAAATGTCCAGAAGGTTATAGAGTAGATTGGATGCATGGGCAATTTTGTAATTTCTTAAAAAAAACTTATAATTAATGGAACTTGCACAGTGAAAGAGAATACTAGCAAACCATGGTGGAATATATTGACTTTCCTATATTTCGAGAAAGAGGTGTATTTAAATAAAACAGTCTTCATGTAAGGTGGTACTCCACCCAACCTTGTAAGGTCTATCACAATATTTCTGGAATATTTTGGGTACCGAGTAATCAGCTGAGATTTTTTCACACAAATGGTCAGCATAGTCTCCAGGTCTCACTGTCATCAAATGTTTGTTATGAGTCCCCTCAAATAATTGGTTTATTATGATGTGCCCACTATACTGACAGACCTGAAAGATAGCATACAACGTCAAGTGCAACTGTTGGAATTAAAACATTTTTGTTCAAGTATATGTCATGTTCTCTTACAAGTGCAAACAACAGTAGACACGGCTGGTGTCAAACCAAACACTATTGCCATGTTATCTGTTAAAAGTTCATGATCAATACCTCCTAATGACAATTATTACTTTGTCTTCCAAGTATTGTATACGATGTTAGAACAGGCCAACTAACCTTCTAATAACCCTGTAATGTTAAGTTATTAACAGTTGACAGAAAAATTAAAAATTAATTTCAAGTTTAAAGAAGTCCATGAATGCTTATCTGTCATAACTACTAGTTCTATCAGACAACCTTAAAAGGACACAAAGATGTGTACAGGTCTGCAGTTTTTCTGAGAAATTGAGTTACTTGAAAATGATAGCCATAGCAAATACCCAGGAGTTGTGGGTAGCTACTTTATTGAGACATATTTATTGTTTTTTCATTAAAGGTGAATAACACAGTCATAAAATTATTTAAATTGAACAATTTACATGACTGCAACTTTTGCAGTTTGCCCACATTAAAGTAAAACACTCCAGTAACAAGACAAAGTTGTCACACCCACGCATAATAAATTCATGTTATGCATGACCAAAAATTCCACTGAGCATGATCATGGAAGTCAATTCATGCTATTGTATGTAATGCTAATAATGATGTATGGATAAACAACCTTAATTTGTTGTTTAAATCCAATTTGGTTTCACATAATTAGGTTAGTTTGAGATATCTTTGGACTATCACTGTATAAATCTGGCAACCCTGACATACAAGTTGTTTTTTTGTATTCTATTCACTTTATAAATTATTTTTCCAACAATGTATATATATACACACATTATATTATATATATACTGAATTAATCAAATACATCTTCAAAAACATTTCAGCAAAAGCATATTAAACCTTAAAATAAAAATGTATAGAATTTTAAACTTAGATCTTTTTAACTTATTATAGTTTTGTCCTATAGTCTTTTTAAAAATCATGTCAAACACAAAACTTATAAAATTATCATATATATATAGTCACTTTAAAATAATAACACTTTGTGTTCAACAAAAAACTAGATTTGAAAATCAGATAAAAACGTTCTAATAAAATGTAAGGCATTTTGTGAAATGAATGCTGTCTTGATAGATGTTAAAAAATTTTTCTTTGAAATTAAATGTCATTTGCATAGTAATAAGCAGTAAATCAAGGCTATTAGTGGCTTTATGTTCATATATAACTAAATATTCTCAATCATCAGAACTTGTTATTTATAAGCTGACCAGATGAGTTTTCTCTTGAAGCCATCTCTGAAGCATTTTGACGTCGTAGATCAGACTTAATTAAAGCTGCAAAAGTAGAAAAACTTGTACATTAAATTGCACAAAAATTCCTTAATTTAAAGATAAAATATTTAAGTACATTAGAAAGTACTAAGATAAACTCACATCTTTCTTATTATTTATAAAAAATATCAAGTATCAGCTAAACCAAGAACAGTTAAAAAAAATAAAAAACTGGAATATGTTTTTTCAAATACAGTTTTTACTGCTTCTATATTTCTGTTTTCTAAGATGTTATAAAACAGAAATGTTAGCATAGTAACCATCTTGCAATTGTATCAGTATTTAATTAAATATCTTACAACATGATAGGGCATATGATCGATATCTAGGCTTACATCACTGTGTTACCAAAATGGCAATATAAATGAATTTGCCATTTGTTATCATAAAAAGTGCAAATAAAACCTCCATAAGAGATGGTGCAGTGAAGTTAAAACACTAACAATGTCTGGAACGGAATGATGGTTAAATTTACCCAATCTGAAAAATACTGAATTATGGATAATGTTGATGCATACTCTTGAATAATGTACTTCTGCACTAAGTCTAGCTACATATATAAGTAGCAAACTTATTCAATATAACCAATATATATGTAACATTCCAAAACTACCTAGAGGCTACAATCCATCATCACCTATCTGTGGGTGTGTGTGGATAAGGGTAAAGTTTAGAGAAGGGTGGTTAATTTTCCAATAACCTGTAATTTTCCCAATTGCCCTTCTTCCAACTATCAACCTAAGTTCATATATTTTAGTATAATGCCATTGTACAAAGCTGAATATTTCACTAAAATCTGTGTAATAAGTTTTAAAACTACAAAAACTTGTGAACCATATGTGGTATGATGCAGGCATACCATGCATTTTCTATCTTCTTATTTTAATAGAGAATTTTTCATAATTTTTTTGTTTACTCTTAGTCAGTGTAGTTTTTACATAAAACATTATCAAAGTCATAAATTGATATTGTTATAACTCTCTTTGTTCCTTTGTCATTCTATGGAGTTTGTTTAGTGTCTTTGATTAATAAAAACAATTTTCATTGTGTGTCTGGCCCATTTATTTCTTTGCTCAAAAATCAGTTAGTGTTAGCAAAATTCAGTATCGCATCTTAATATATCCTGTTGATTTTCCTATTACTTAGCAGACCTACTTATTACTCTTTGAAGAAATCAGTTTTACGTGAAAATAACATATATTTACTATTTTGATAACTTATTTTGCTCTCGGTTCTTAGGTATCTATGTAAGATTGTCATGATAAGGTGAATAAATTATTTAATAAAATACGTAAATACATTCCTACAGTATAAAATTTTATTCTAAAGTTATTTAAACTACTTTAATTATCAAATTAGTGTTTTAAATAAATAAAAATAATTATGGAAACAGTGAAAACAATGGGTATAAAATGCAAATATTATGTGACTTTCCTACATCTACTGTGTGAAAAGTAAATAGACCAGAATACAGTCATGCATTGAAAGTTTCTGTTTTGACTGGCTGTCATCAAACCAATCAGACAACGTCACACAATCACACAGTAGGAGCTAATATTGTTGATAATAGAAGAGTTCAAGGTAGACAGCTCAAATTCTCCAAAGTATTCTAGTGCCCCTTAAATTAGAACAAGGTACATAAGTACTGCTGTGATGGAACCAAGTAGAATTAGTGAAGCATCAACAGATAAAAAAATTTTAGATAAAAACTGCCCAAAATATATACCTTTTTTTTAAAGCAGTCAAAACAATACAGATGCACATCTTATATTTTGATATAATCATTGTTTGTAACTGCTGAATCACCAGCAGTAAAAAAGGAATAAATAAAATTCTGAACTTCTGATGTTTATCGTTTAGGCTTTAAGTTATATATGTCTAACGAGTTCATTTTGTCAACCATAAGAACTGCACAGTTTATATGCTGGTATTTTCTAATAATGATCAGTTAAAATATAATTGGTAAAAACGTTTCGATTATTGGAGCTTTTTGCACTGGGTCATAAGATGATTTTATTATCCTATGCTACAATGCACTCACAGTAACATTCAATAAGCCCAATACTACTGTTTTATGACAAATACAAATCACTGTAATCCTGGTTCACCAGCAAAGGTTTACATCATAACAACTGCTGTATTCCAGCTGTCCTGATCAGCTCTGGTATTGAGCAAAATGCATTGTTGAAACTGGATATATTTTAGACAAAGTGTGGTTGCAATACTGCTATACACTCTTCTTCTTGAAAAAACTATAAGGGACTGAATAACGATTGTAGTTTTAAAAATACAATAAACCCAATGCCACTGTCTTTTGACAAATATACTTAATTACTTGAATGGTTTACATAAAATTAAAAACCAACACTGTTTAAGTTATTGTTCCTTTTCTCTCACCTCAGTCCTTCTAATTGTGTACTGAAGTCAGTAATAAAATAAAAGTAATCTATTATAATTTCTTTCACTGAGTCTCAGACAAATTTTTATGAGTCATTCACACTGCTTACTTAAAAATGATGTTTCTCATCAACAAACTTTTCTCTAAGATCTACAAAAACTAAATTGATGAAGTCTTCATTCAAAATTACTATATTTACCATTTAGATGGGCTTATAGTTTTCAGGAGTCATGCATAGACCAGTTGATGCCAATACTTACATCCAACAATTACTTTGTTCATTTGTTTAAGACCTTATACCAAGTAATTTATCATATAATTAAGAATAAGTTATGTTTTATAGTATTGTCTATTGTAAAATTATACTTCTACTCAATATCAATAACATCTTTTTATTCAAAAATCATTACAGCATTCTTTATCGTGTAGCTATTTTTTATATTCAAGAACTTCTAATGTCCTAGGAGCAAAATGTAATGTTCCACTAACACTGTGATCTCTTTCTGTGCAATTCACATGTTTTAGTAGTATAATTTGTTTTTTACCATTATGCCCAAACTTCATCTCACCTGTCATTATGGTTCCTATTAACAACATTCCAGAAAGAACTCCATTTGCAATTAAATCTTTGTAATTCTCAAACACCCAAGATGATCCTAATGTAAACAGAATCCCAAAAACCTGAAAGAAGATGTGATTTGTAAGGTAGAATCTAATAGGACTGTTTTTAGGAAAATCATTTAGTTTGTTATTATAAGATTACAGCGGATATATTAAACATCTTAACACTTTACAATCATTCAAGTTCTATCAATAGATGAATTTAATAAACATACAGCCTTCTTTCAATCTTGTGGCAGTCAGTGCCTTTAAAAGTAATTAAGAAATACATAATCCTATATTTACTCATTGAAATACTGATAACGTTTTTTACACTGATCAAATATTATTAAAACCACAGACATATTCCTTCTGAAGTGATCAAACAATTTAAGAACTTTTTCTCTGCACTTGATCATTATCAACATAATAACCTGGTGACCCTGAGAGGTTGCTTGAAATTTCAAGGGTGCATTTCAAGACATTTCTAATAATGCTCTGTGAAATAATTTTTTCTCAGCTTTATAACCATCTCTTTAAGTCTTTTTTTTCAATCCTTCAGTTAGCAAGAACTTCAAGAATTATTTTGTTATAATATAGTTCCTTAAAGGATTAATGAATGTATAATGTCTATAATTTTTGGTTAAAAACAAACAAATGTTAAGCTTTTGATGAGAGCCATAGTTATAATATTAGTTAACACAAAAGATTAAAGAAATCCAAAACACTCACAAAATCTTAATAATCATATTGTTTTGAAAAACAAAACAAGATAGTAATACTAACAACTGAAGTAAAATGTTACCAAAACTTACCTGATACACCACCAACTTCTATTTATTCACAAAAAGGGCAATACAACTAAAGTATTATGTTACATTATAAATATCAAATTCATAAATTTTTTGAAAGAAGATGCAACCAAAAAACATTTTTAACTTACAACTGCCTGATGCTAAAGTTATACAATATACAAAAGTCAAAGGAATTGAAATTTCTGCATATCAAATTATAGTTTATAAAACTTGTTCTTCAGCTGTCTGATACTTTACATCATGGTAGATTTGTAATAAATTTGAGAATGAAGACAAATGAAATTTTCCATTCTATTTTGAAGGCATTTTTAAAACATTATAAACTATATTTTACTATCATGTAATAAACTTAAGTGAACTAAGTCCTTGTTAACACTTCTACATTACTGTTATTTATGTACTTTATATTTATTTCAGTTAAACCTCAAAATTACAAGTGTTTGATTTAACAATTACTTCAAACAATCCAGAACACAAGATATGGCCATATTTTTATTTATTTTAACTGTCTGAATATAATAAATTTAAAGCACTGAAAGCTAAATATTTCCCAACTTAGCATAACTTGAATATACGCAAAATATGTATTAATGCTTACTTGGGCAGAAGCATTTAGTAATCCTGATGATGTGCCCTCAGACTCTGGATAAGTAATTTCTGCTGCCAGTTCAAACCCTAATGGTAGGTAACCAGTCATAAAGAACCTGTATGTTGGATTAAATATTGACAAAACAGCAGATTATTAATATTTTCTAAAAATAAGAAAAAAAAAGACTTATCTTTGAACACTGATGATTCAGTTTTAAGTATTTCAATCAAGAAGGAACTTTCAACTGAACATATTAATTCAAACAGAACATCAAAACTTTAGCTTTTAGTAAAATACACTAGACTTGCCCTAGTAACCTAGCAACAACTCAACTCAAAAACCCAACTTTTACAAAGTTTACATGCAGCACAAAAATTAGATGAAAGAAGGGTATTTGTCTTAAAAACACAATTACAGATTCTACACAAAGATAAAACTTAACCTAAGAACTCAGTTATTTCTAATACTACATACAATACAAATATGAGTGTCATAACTCAGCTATCAAAGATACTAGAGGCAATATAAAAATATATAACTTGGCTATTACAGACAATATTACAAACAATATATAAATTTAATGTAATAACTCAATTATTACAGACACTGAAGACCATATAAAAATTAGTACAATAACTCAACCACTAAAGACAATCTAGAAATTTAGTGCAATAACTCAACTACTAAAGACAGTCTAGAAATTTAGTGTAATAACTCATATACTACAGACAATATAAAAATTAGTGTAGTAACTCAGATATTACAGCCACTACAGAGAAGTTATAATTTTCCTACATTGAAAATATATTTCTGAAAGGTACTTATTTCCACTCACATACGTAGTTATTCTCATTCAGTGCTGCCCTCTATTTGGATTTATTTTTTTGCATGATACAAGCCTTTTATTCCTACATACCCTCTCGGTTCACATGGTTTAACTGATTCACTTATGTAAACTATCAAGCGACAAACCTCCACCAAGAGACATGCCTCACACACATGCGAATTATGTGACTCCCTCTATGCTATTCTACCTAACTATCACTTTGAGTTTAAGCATAAAACTAAGCACCAGTAGAAATTGGGGAAGGAAGAGTGGGAACTGTGACCAGAAGTAAGTACCAGTCGGAAATATATTTTCAGTATAGTAAAATCATAACTTCCAACAAGACACCTTACTTCCGCTTACATACATAGCTAGAATCCCACACTGATTAGGTGGAGGGTTTGGTACAAGGGAGAAAAGATAAGCATCCTCCAAAAGCATCTGAAGGACACCCCCAAGCAGAAACCATCAAAGAAGAGGATGACACGTGGAAGACTGCATCACTTCTGTACCAGGTATACTTATCACCAAGACATGGAAAAGATGAGACTGAGTCGGGTGGACAAAAATGATGAGCACATCTCATTGTAGATAAAAGAAGGGATGTGCCCCAAGGTGTCGAATGGCTAGGGTACAACGGACTGTACACAGCAAGTTAACTGCATCCAAGACTCTACTGCCAGGAACCAACATCCACGAGGGAGTAAAACAAGGATCATATTGTCAGTATGGCAACCTCAATCCAAAACTCAACCACTGGGGACCTACATCCAAAACAAGGGCAGGAAAGAGGATCATATAATCTTCACTTCAAGTTCAGCCAACAAGAGGGATAATTATCACTACTGATTAATGAACATGGCACACGTGAACAGAGTGAAATTCAGAGATATCCTTCTCAAATCAGACATACCAGAATCACTCCAAACTCAGTACCATCCCTGACATAAAGACATTGAGGGGAGTACAAGAGGAGGAAGTGGAGCAACAACCTAGTGTACCCATCGTGAACCACAATACAGGGAAGTGCACCTGAGACAAATTTAGTGAGTGAGAAAAGACACTCTGAACACATGTTTGAGAACTTATGTTTATTGGTTCAGCTCTAAATCCAAAACTCAACCACTGGAAACTGACTTCTGTGTGAGGCTAAGATGAGGGATCCAAATCATGTCTACACCAGCAGACATAGTCTAAACTGAATGGATGCATTATTTTTATATTGTATATTTCACATTCAGGAGGAGACCTCCATGGTTGACCACTCCAGCGGTTTGGAACTGGAAAGTGGTAAGGACTATCTTACTTTACTGGAAGAAATGGGGAGGAAAAAATGCAGTGGAGTGTCCAGAGGAATGTTCATACTGGAAACAGGGCAATGGGTGACTATGAAACCTTAATCTGAAAAGTAGACCAAACCTGATTTATTCAATCTAAGGGATTGGCAGCTATCCCCTTCTGCTTCACCCATGAACTCCACTGGTGAGTATAGTCCAGATTGGCATATTTAGGAAGCAAATATATTGCAAGGAATAACCTACAAGCACCCTTGTAGAACATCCCATTTCTAGTATATTACAGATCAGTGTGTGTTTAACCCTTTCATGATGGGTGGGTCTAACTGCACATGTCACAGTCTTTTAGCGAGTTATTTTCAAAATTTAATAAAACTACTTTTTGTTTATCTTATACCAATTAGTATAGCATAAAATCCTAGCTAATAATCCATATTTTAATAATATATAAGTTTTAAGTATTTAATTTTATAAAGCAATATTTCAAAAAATCATGAATTTCCCCTAGTGTGAGAAATGTAACATTTTCTCTAGGCATCCCTTTTTCTCTATTTTATTCACCACCCCTCCAATAAGTATGAAATTTAACATAAATTACTCAGTATAAAATCGTCATTGTACAGACAAACTATAATTTTTATAGCCTTAAATTTTGTTTGGTTACAGAGCCATTAAATAGAAAATCACATCCTTTCTTTCAGAATTTGTTAATAGTTCTCTCTCTCACGGTTAATTCTATATTATTTATAAACAATAGAATGCCTATGTTTTAATCTATCAAATATTACTTTGTTTTCTGAACAGAGAATTGTCAGTTTCTCTTTTAGTACAAGCTTCATTCCAACAGGAAAGATAACGACTAGCTTGGATGATTTTGTAACAGTTTTTGTTGCATAGTGAGAAAGCCCAAAAAATTGTGATAGTTAGGGGAAATTGTCTGCTTTTTGCATGTTATTATTCTATGTTCTTGGGTGCATTATTTAATCAAATAAAAATTATTTAGTGCATTACTACCATTAGTATAAAAAAGTAGGGTTAAGTGTAATTAATAGTCAACACCAAAAAATAAGACCCGGGTAAGTACTTTATTTCTTGTTTTTCATGTTTATTTTTTATTTATTATTATAAAAGTAACTAAAATGTAAAATTAAAGATCTCTTTAGGTTAGTTAAGATAAAATAAATAATAATATAACAAAAATGTTTCATGAGGCACACACGTGAGAACCTCAGACTCATAGTAGCTCCTGGGTAATGTAATTTGATAAAGTAACGTGAGCTTTACGTTCCCCAAGTGATTTATAACTTATAATGGCATGAATAGTAGAAGTTAGTTGTTCAAAGGGCAATCACAGAGCAATAAAACAATAAAATTTAAGTATAAATAGATGTATATTGTTCCAAATTTAAAGCAACTTAGGATAAACAAATATAGTTTCATGTTGCAATTTTAAGTCATTCTAGAAAGAAAAAAACTGGAATTTAGATTGATTTCAATTATTTTTGGGTGGTAGCAAGCCCAAAAGGAAGAGTGCAAAATTGATAAACCACCCAGAGATAAGCAATTGATACGTCTACCTTGGTCATCCATATACCCAGAGAAAAATCCCACCTAAGAGTGAGAAATGACTCCATTGTAAAATGAAGTAGCACCAAAAAGTGATTAAGGAATGACAGATCTATCACAGGCTGCCAGTCTCCAGTTTCTTTGGGGACCACAAACAGCCTGGAATAAAACCCTGGAGAAGGGTGAACTACAGGTTCAATGGCATGTTGAGAGAGATCTTGTACTGCCTTGTACAGATGGTGAGATTTGGGAAGATCTCAAGGCAACAGAAAGGAAATGGTATATCTGAGACAGGGAAGAGGAAAAAGGACCCATAGATCCCTGGTGAAATCTCACCACAGATGAACAAACTGGGATAAATGAGCTCCCACCGGACTGGAACCCACAGGTTGGTGACAAGATACTTGTTGCCGAAGAAAACAATGAGAAGAAGATCCCCTTGTGGAAGGAACAGTTAAGTGTTGGAGTAGGACAGGGAACAGATATAGGGAATTGTCAAGGCTTTTTGTGAGATAAACAATCAACCAATGAGGAAAAAGTCAATTCCTGTCTCACAGATTCCACCAAAGACTGACCAATGGAGTAACCAGAGAAGACACAGCAAGTTCAGGAGGGAAAAGGCTGTCAAAACTGTTGTCATCCTGAACAGGTTCAGCTTGTTCAAGAGGAAATTGGGCAACATCAGGAGAAGAAGGTTGGTTCAAATAATGATCAATCTCTCGACAAACAATTGCTGATAATTCCAAAGTTGAGTTACCCCCACCTGAAGCCTGAGTAAATGTGCTGGTAGAGGTACAACTTCTGATGTGGTAACATATATTTCGGAACTGTGTTGTTAAAGCAAGATAAATACAGAAAATTAATTAATTTCCATATCTGGGTTTGGAAAGTGAAATAATACCACTACGAAGTATGAAAATGGAAATTATAGGTTGTAAACTAGAAATAAATGCTACAAAATTTCAAATTCGATTTGAGAGAGTACAAAAGAAAATGTCTTAATACAAACAGTGCCAAATGATAGGTGATAGTTAGGTAGAATGACATAGAGGGAGTCACATGAGTCATGTGTGTGGGAAGCACGTCTATTGGTGGAGGTTTGTCGCATGATAATATGCATGCGTGAATCAGTTAACTCTTTCAGCCTGGGCTTGGTCCCTGGGACCAACCTCGTAACCATTTTGTGCTTGTTATAGTTTTCGTACTATAACTTTTAAATTAGTTAGTAAATGTTTACAAAATTTGGCAGATTATCAGTAAACATTACAATGCTTTTAATTCTTGGAGATGGCTTGAAAGGGTAATGAAGAAAAACTTTAATATAAGTTTCACACAACAGCAAATGTACAATGTTTCAACAAGGTTTTGTCATCATCAGGTTTTCCTTCATTATTAGTCTCAAAGTGGGTCCCTCGTCATCGAAAATTACAATGCTTTCATATGTAAAATATCTGATTTTTTTATTAAGTTTTAAGGTTTGTAAAACAATGTTTCTTTCAAGCCTTTTTTTCACATCATGCAAAGTAATTTTTATTTTAACATTAAAAATACTTTTATGCATCAGAAACTTGAAATTTCACATGTGAA